CAAGCCCGGCCTGCCTCGCCCCGTCCTTTCGATCCTCCTTCATTATCCTGTCCTTGTGTGCGGCACCTTTCAATGCAATGTGGAAGACGAGGTCGACGAGAGGAGAAGGATGAGGAGGTGGAGGAGGAGGAGGACCAGGAGGAGGAGGAGGAGGAGGAGGAGGAGGAGGAGGAGGAGGAGGAGGAGGAGGAGGACGAGGAGGACGAGGAGGAGGGAGAGGAGGCGGCGGACGAGGAGGAGGAGGAGGAGGAGGAGGAGAAGGTGGACAAGGGAATGGAGAGGATATTACGTTACGCTTAGCTGCATGAGGTCCTTACTAGCAATGTGTACGTTCTGCCATAGCGGACCCCAGGAAGTATATGCTATTCGTTCTTATTGGCTACTCTGAGACATCCCCCAGACGGCGCCAGCACGAATAGTGACGTTACCAAGGAGGGGGTGGGTGGGGCAGGTCACGGCGGCTATCGCGAAAGATGGAAGAGGCTCTCGTGGGCGCAGTTGCTCGGCAATGCGATCTTCGGGGGCCCATCGCCGATCTATTGGCGACGTGTCGCCGGTTCCCGGGCAATGCCCCCCCCCTCCCCGAGGCAGGTCACCGCTATCCCTGCCCCTCGTGCCGGCCCGGAGAGCCGCCTCCCGGCGGGAGGCCCCGTGCCTAGCGGCGACGGCGACGGCGAAGACGACGACGACGACGACGACGACGACGACGATCTCCGTTGGCGTGATCTTCTTTCGGTGCGAGCGATGTTCCTCCATGTCTTGTCGGGTATGGCCAGGACCCCGGGTAAGGAGACCCGGTTAGTGGTAGGGCCCCGGAGCCTTCGAATTGGCCAGCATCACTACACCAGGTTTGCCATAGCTGGTGTTTTCTCGGGTGACGGCAGTTCCGGTTAGTGGAAGTGGGACGGGGGGGGCGCCCCCGGTACAGATCACTAAACCAGGTTCCACTAAACCCAATTTTGCCAACGCTCGAGTCTTGGCGGCGTGCACAAGGGGGTAGGGGGAGGGGGGAAGGCTTCTCAGGAGGCTGCTTCTGAGAAGGTGCCGGCCCTCCATCTATACAGACGAGGCCCGCGCCTCCCGACAAGCAGGGGTGCTTCCAAGACGCCTTCCCCCCTCCCCCTGCCTCCTTCTCTGTGCGTGGCCGAATGGCGGCCTCCGGGGCCCGCAGTCGGGCTCCCGGGCCATGAAGAAGTATGCATCCGGGGCGGCAGAAGCCCGCCCGCACCCCCCCCCCCGGAGAGGGGTGGGAGCCTCTTCTGGGGGTCCAGGGCGCGTCGCTGGGCGTCTGGGGACGGCGGCGGGCGGCTGCCCGCAGTCCGAAGGGGCGCCGCGGGGGCGAGGGGGGCGCGGCAGGAGATCACCGCGCGTCGCGCCTCGCGGGGCGCGAGGACGCGTAGTTCCCAGTCCCTCGACGTCGTGCGTGTCTTAAGTCAGTCGGGCATGTGCGAGAATAGAAGAACAATTGCCAGGGACCAATTTTCTTGCTGTGTGAGTGTTTTTTGTTTTGTTTGCCTGTTTTGAGCTTTTCTTTCCAAATCAGCCTGTAGGAGGACATGCCCGACCTGATGCTCGTCATTTCTCAGCCCAGATCATTGGATACTGTTTTTTTTGCTCTCGGTCGCGAGCCGTAGCGACCGACCGGCACTCCAACTCGGTCGCGACCGATCGCAAATCGGTCCCGACCGGTCGCGACGACCGGCTTTGAAGTAGAACGGTCGCGGCCGGTGCCGAAGTTTGAAGCAAAATCGGTGGCGACCGATCTTGTTGGTCGCGACTGGAAAGTTCCAGTATCCAATCGTCAGGGTGGGCCGTTCTTTGACGGCCCTGGGTGCCCTGCTGGGACCCCCAGAGGCCGAAAACAGCCGACAACTTCCCGTCGTCATGTTCTGTTTCGCGGCGCGAGGTCTGGGTTAGAAGGCTCGGTTATATAGCTTCTTGGGGCCGCGCATTCCCTGAGATCCGACGTTGCGAACAAATGACAAGCTCGCGAGAGTCAGGACCAGAGCCCTAGACCCAATCTTCCTGAGGCAGTTTTCGAGCCCGATCGATCTGTGATGGCCCTGGGCGAAGACGCCTGGCGTGAACAAATGGCAACGTCCAGATCTTATCGGGGGCGGCCAAGAGGGGCGTGATGACAAGGGTGCGTGGGTATCATGGCCAGGGCCTTGCTGTCTCCCCAGATTTCATGGCGCCTCTTCTTAATTTACGACGTCCCCCTGGCCCCCCCCCCTGGGCCGCGCATGTGCCTCGGGCCATGATTTGCAAGCCCTCGCCAGGCCCTGAGACGATCAAAAACAGCCTTGGATGAAAAAGCGACCCCGGGGAAGAGGTTCAGACCTCCAGGGGTCCACGTTACAAAAAGGACCAGATGTCGAAGGCTTGGGTCCCTCTCTCTCTCTCTCCTTCTCTCGCGCACCCGCATCGGGCCCCCCTCCTGGGCGCGCTCCTCTTGGACGCCCCCGATCTCAGGGCTGAGCAACTCGCGTCGTCGGGTGCCTGGAGTGGGGTGCGGTGGCGGCCGGCCGGCCGACCGAGCCGACCTCCCGGGCGCGCGTTGGCGGCTGTGTGGTCCCTCGTGGCGGCCTCAGGGGGTTCCGCTACATTACCTTGCGATTTGGGGGATTTCGTTTAAGTCGGGCACGTCCCTCTACAGGAGGAACATTCCCAGAGAGTCAAGAAAAAGTATGGGGACGATGTGTTTGAGTATTTTTTGGGCTATTGCTGGGTATTTTCGAGTATTTTTATCTTGCCCCAAATCCGCCTGTAGGGGGACATAACCGACCTAAGATTTCGTTTGGATTCCTTCGGAGATGGTCGACGTCCGGGCGAAAGCTGGAGGATGCCTGGGCGAAACCTGAACGACCGGGGTGCAGAGGGGGCGGTCGGAATCTGGACGGCACCCGGTCGAAAGAGAACGTTATGGTGGGGCTGCGGAGGTCTACATAGGCTCCAATCAAGGCTCACCCAGCAGGGCTTGCTTCAATTCCTCCGATCCGATTCGATACGATTTCGATGGCCCCCGATTCCGATTCGATTCGACTTCGGATTCCGAATCGGATTCCGATTTCTGAATGGAGGCCTATATGAGCCTGCCGATTTCCACCGATTCAACTTCTCCCGACTCGGCTGCCTATTTCCGCCCATCCGACTCATTTCGATCGCCGACCCGACTTCTCGATTCGATTCCAGGATCCCCTGCCCAGGGGCGGGGCACGCGCGCGCGCTTGCCGCCGGAGGCAGCAAGATGTGGCGCGGGGCCGTCGCGGTGGCCGCGCTGGGCGGCGCTCGCGCCGCGACGTGCGCCGAGAAGGCCCCCGCGCAGGGCGGCCGAGAGGTCGTGGTCGGATCGCCGCTACGGGTGCTGAAGGGATATCGGGGGGAGGGGGAGGAGGACAAGCTAGGTGCGCTCGCGTCATATCTGACGTCCTACCCCTCCCTCCCATCCCTTACCATGGCGCTGATTTTCTCTATCCGCGGACGCGTGTCGTAGCGGACCTGTGGCTCCGCGCGCGCGTGCGTAGTGGGTGGTGGTGCACGTGCGTGCGTGCGTGCGTGTGTGCGTGGTTGTCGTGGTGGTGGTGGTGGTGGTGGTGGTGGTGGTGGTGGTGGTGGTGGTGGTGTGGTGGTGGTGGTGGTGGTGGTGGTGGTGGTGGTGGTGGTGGTGCTGGTGTGGTGGTGGTGGTGTTGGTGCTGGTGCTGGTGCTGGTGTGGTTGGTGGTGGTGGTGGTGGTGGTGGTGGTGGTGGTGGTGGCGCGGTGGTGGCGGGCGGATGGGCGCGCGAGAAAAGGCCCGCGCTGGGGCGAGAACGCCATCCTGAACGACGGAGGCCAAACACCGATCCGAAAATGAGGCCCACGCTGCAGCGGGAGCACGATTCGGAACGATTCGGGAGCAGAAATGAGGCCGGCGCCTCAACGAGAGCAGCATTTTGGGAAAAAATGACGCCGGCGCCTCAGCGAGAGTCGTTTCCCGGGATATCCCGGGGGTCCTGTGTGTAAAAAACAGTACGCGGAGGGTGCGCGGCCATCACCCGGACGCCATCAGGGGAAGAGGGAGAGTATTTTCATATTGAGTATTGTGGAGGGGGAGGAGGAGGAGGAGGAGGAGGAGGAGGACGAGGAGGAGGAGGAGGAGGAGGAGGAGGAGGAGGGAAGGAGGATGGAGGAGGAGGAGGAGGAGGGAGGTGAGAGCAGGAGGAGGAGGAGGAGGAGGAGGAGGAGGAGGAGGAAGCAGGAAGGAGGAGGAGGAGAACGAAAGAGGAGCAGGAGGAGGAAACAGGAGGAGGGTGCGAGGTTCCAAGGGGGGTCTAAGAGGCTGCCAAGATGGGTCAGGTTTGGCCCAACCCAGCTCTAAGGGGGTGGTAAGTAGCTTCGTCAGCAAGTTGTGGGAGCCTCGCATGTCCTCGTCATTCCGTCTTTGGCGTGCATCGGCGTCGATCGGCGGCTGGTACTCGATGGGCGCCGATTTCGCGGCGATTCGCGTAGATGTAGCGTCGAGTAGTGTCGATCTGGTGTCGATTAGCGTCGGTCAGCGTCGATTCACAAGAGCCAGCAAGATGGCATGGTAGGCTCCCATGAGTGGCCTCCGAACGTGGCCGCACAGGTGGGTTACATTTGGCCTGACCTAGCTCGTGGTCGTTGTTGCTGTTGCTGTTGTTGCTGTTGTTGTTGTTGTTGTTGTTGTTGTTGTTGTTGTTGTTGTTGTTGTTGTTGTTGGTGTTGTTATTGTTGTTGTTGCTGCTGCTGATGCTGTTAATGTTGATGTGGTTGTTGATGTTGTTGCTGTTGTTGTTGTCGTCATTGTTGCTGCTGCTGCTGCTGTTGTTGTTGTTGTTGTTGTTGTTGTTGTTGTTGTTGTTGTTGTTGTTGTTGTTGTTGTTGTTGTTAGTGCGGAGTGTGCTTGCAAACGGGCACGGGATTGAGGGACCCAACGGCGTCTTCACCATGCTCCCCTGTATTCCACTATATATTCGCTCAAGCTTTCACAGGTTCGCTCGCATGGGCCTCCCGCGTGGGCCCCTGGCAGCCGCGGCGGTGGCCGCGGTCCATGGGCTGCTGGCGTTAGGGCTCTGGAGCTCGACGCCCGCGCCTGCTTGCCCGCAGCCGGTGTGCCCGGCGCCATTCTGCCCGGCGCTGGTCTGCCCCGACTGTGTGTCGGTGGCCGGCGCGCCCGACCCGGGGCCGCCGGGTGGCCCTGCGGCTCTCGGCCTGGGCGAGGTGCCCGAGGAACTAGCGGAGATCCGCTCGGCAGCGCTTCGCCTGGAGGAGCAGCTTGCCTTGGTGCAGGCGGCGCTGGAGGCCGCTTGGAACGCCTGGCCGTTGCTCTGGGTGCTCATCGGTGGGGCGGGCAGGGATCTGCTCGGTCGCCTGACCGATAGGTGCCGTCGGCGTCATGCTGTCGAACAGGAAGTACCAGCTGTTCTCCTCCAGCGGCCTCGTCGTGCCGGAGGAGGAGTTTATGCGTGAGATGAAGCCGGGCAAGCGGTTTGCCCTTTGGTATGAGGACGACACTTACTGGCGCGAGCGGGTCGCGCTGGCGGAGGTGCGGCCAGGGGTGTGGATCATCGCCACTCCCGATGGGCATCGATACTCTGAGAATATCAGGTGCCGCCGGGGTACCTCAGGCGCGGTGCAGGCGGTGCATCTCGTCCCTGATGCCGAGCTGCTGGAGCCGATGAAGGGGCACTTCTACTGGTTTCGCACCGCGTTCGACGCCGCGGACCTGGTGGAGCAGATCAAGCTGGCTGAGGGCGAGTCCTATGGCATCACTCGTCGTCGGCGGCCGTCGCCTGAGGCCATTGCCCTGTGGGACGGGAATGAGGTCGAGTATCAGGCGCTGATGGACTCGGACGGGGCGCAGCTGGTGCCCTTGGCTGGGGACGACGGTGAGGCGAGGCCTGCTGTCGCGCCGGGCGCCGCGGCTCTGCCGCTGGCCGCGCCCGCTGGCCCGCCGCCGGACGTCACCTGGCTCATCGTCGACCCGCTCCACCCTGATTTCGGTCGGGAGCGCCATCCTGCTCCAGACGCCGAGATGGCAGGTGACTACGCCATGGCGTTGGACGCGAGTCGGCGGCCGGTGCCAGTGAAACGGGTGCCGATCGCCGACGTGGCCACCTTCTTGGACACGGTGCACATGACGGTGCGCAAGATCCTGGACGAGGAGGGCGCCGCCGTGAAGGCGGACAAGGGTCTGGAGGGCCGCCTGAGCGAGGCCCTGGACGGCGGCACCAAGACCCCTCCTGCGGGCGAGGACGCGAGGACCTTGTCGGTGAGCTACGACGAGCACGGGGAGCGGCACAAGGACTGGCGATCGGTCTGCGCCGAGATCTCGTTCAGCCACTTCAGCGACTGGGAGAAGCACCACGAGGGGCCGGCGACCACGCTCGCGTTGTTCAAGAACATCCAGCGCCAAGGGGGAGATCCTCGCCTGTTCTATCCCATATGGTGCCGGGACGCGGGCGTCAGCCCTCAGGAGCGCACGGGCATCGAGATGAAGCTCCTGCTGGACATCCTGTACCTGAGCGGCTGCTACGACCAGGTCAACGGGCCATCGTTGGCGAGCATCGAGGCCGTGTCGAGGAGGGTGTGCCAGATCATCGAGGCGTACTCCACTGGCGCTCCTGGCCGCGCGAACTGGGAGGGCGTGAAGCACTTCATGCCTCTGGCCAACTCGGCCTCGGTGGTGCCGCCGGAGCTGCGCTCGCATGCCCACCGCCGCGCGAAGGAGGAGGTGGAGATCGAGAACATGCGCATGAGGGCGCGCGGGCTGCATCCGGGTGTCGGCGCTGAGGGCATTCATCCTGTCCTTCCTGGCGCAGGCGGAGGCGGAGGCGGCCGCGGCGGGGGGCCCAAGGGCGACCCGAAGGGCGGAGGACGTGGTCAGCCCAAACAGGGAGCCGGCGCGGAGGCGGAGAAGGTGAAGTTGCCGGGACAGGGGCGATGCTCGGGGCCGGCGCCGACCGTGGTCGAGTCGACGCTGGAGGCCCAGACTCGGTGGCAGGTGACAGCCGTGTGAGGCGCGTTGCCATGCTGCCGCTCTTTCCAATTCCCCTCTCCCCGGCACCTGCCGTGCCCAGCGGACGCGGCCGACAGGCTTCTGGCCTGCGAGGCCATTTGCGGAGACTGAATGCTGATGTCAACGCAACTGTGAACGCTTTGAATTGGATGGCTGGGGACCGGCATCGCCCCGAGTACGGGCCGCCGCGTACCTCAGAGCAGGCTAGTGTGCATGCGCGCGTCAGAGACCGGATTTCTTCCCTTTTGACCTCAGGCGTCGCGATCCCTAGCCGGCGAGCGGCTTTTCTCGAGCTGCTGCACGGCCGGGCTGTGTACGATGCAGAGCCCGGTGGACACAACCTTGCCAGTTTCTCCAATGTCTCCTCTGTGAGCCTGCCTGACAGCCTCGTCGGCGCCCCTTCGGTGCGGGAGGTTGTGGGCCCAGAGGCGAGCCAATTCTTGGAGCAGAACTACGAGCGCATGCTGCGCACCTCGACGGACTTTTTGGAGCGACAGGAGTCGCTGCCCTCTATAACTCCCTATTGGGACACTGTGCTTTCTCGCAGCCGCCGCAAGTTTCTGCGGCTGATGCGGGCGCTTCTGCGGATTGGACTGGTCACGCTTTTGCCAGCTGGTTCGGCGCAGGAGCACGTCGGTATGTTCTTTGTGAAGAAGGCCGGTAAAAGTAAGAGTCGGCTCATCATTGATGCTCGTCGTGCGAATAGGCGTTTTGCTGATCCCCCTGGAGTCCACCTCTGTTCGTCAGAGAGCCTCGCGAGGATCGAGGTTTTTCTTCCGCCTGGTTGCTCTAGTCCTACTCCTGATCAACTTCGTAGCGCCCAGATGTGTCTGGGGCTGGCGGATGTTAAGGACGCTTTCCATCGGTTTCGTCTTCCCTTGGGCCTGGCGAGTTACTTCGGTTTGGGTGCCGCCACAGCAGGGGAACTGAAGGTCGTGGGAACCAATGTTGGCGGGGGCGTCTTGGGTGTTGATGACCAGGTCGACATATGTTGGGCTTCTCTTCCTATGGGTTTCTCTTGGTCACTCTACTTCTGCCAGCAAGCGTGTGAGCATCGTATGGCTAATGTTCCTGGTCTTCGTGATTCTGTCCTCCTTCGTGATCGTGGTCGGCCTGGGGTCTTCAGGTTTGCTGAGAAAGGCGAGGGCAAGAAGGGGGGGCTCGTCTTGGAGGGCTCCGGGATATGTCACTACATCTACGTTGACAATCTGGGTGTTCTCTCTTGTGATCCCTCTCATACCTCGTCCATCCTGTCCGACGCGGCGGCTCGTTTCGAGAGCGTTGGGCTCGTGGCCCACGAGCACGAGGTGAGTGCCACTTCGTCGAAGGCCCTGGGGACCCACATAGACCTCGAGGGCCTTAGAGTTTCTCTTGCGCCCGCTCGACTGTGGAAGGTGCGCCAGGGTGTTCTGTATGCCTTGTCGTGTCGGAAGCTGTCTGGACGTGTCTGGGAAGTGCTGCTGGGCCACCTCACCTTCTGCGCGCTGATCAATCGTAGCATGATGAGTGTCTTCAGGAGTATCTATGCCTTCATAAATAAGTACTACGCTACCCCTATGCCGCTGTGGGACACCGCTAGGCAGGAGATGCTGACCGCTGCCTCCCTCCTGTTCCTGATGGATGCCTCGTGGGCGCTGCCCTGGTCCTCTGGTGTCGTGGCCACGGACGCTTCGGAGGAGGGGTTCGGGGCCACCGTCTCAGAGTGGGACCCTCAGGACGTCGCGGAGGTGGGGAGGATCCTGGAGAGGGGCCCCTTTCGGAAGCTTCCTGGAGTTTCTGCCCGGTCGAGGTTTTTCGGGAGTCTTGAGGAGCTTGGATCTGAGGCGGACGAGGGGGAGTTCGACAGGCCGTATGACGTGGACTCTAGCTTCCCGGAGGTCCCCCACAAGCTGCTCGCAAGCCCACTGGAGTACCCTTCTGGCGGGCCCCTGGAAGTACTTTGACGAGGGCATTTTCACCTTGGAGGCTAGGGCCCTGGTCCTGGGATTTCAGGCGCTGGTGAGCGAGTACCAAGTCAGGAACGCGAGGGTGCTCTTCTTGGTTGATAACATGGGGGTGTGTCTAGCCTTCGCTCGGGGGCGCACCGCGGACTTCAGGACCCTGATGTGTATGAGACGCATGGGGTCGTGGTGCTTGGCCCTCGGACTGCGAGTCTGTTTTGGCTGGATACCTTCCGAGTGGAATACTGCGGATGAGCCGTCCCGTCGGTTTTCGGTAGAACATGTTGGCTCACGTGCTGACCTTGACTCTGTTGGCTATTCCCGCACTGTTCCTGAACCACTCAGATGTGATGGAGAGGGGCCCCAGGTTGGGGCCTGCCCGCGCCGTGCCGCGGGCGAAGGCGCAATCAGGCCGCCTACCCCGCGGATCGACGACGATCCCCGCGGCGCCCGTGGTCTCGAGGAACCTGGTGACGTTCGCGCCGGCGCCCGCGACTGGCAGGGCGACCCGGGCCCGCCGTCTGGCGTCCGGGGACGCGCTGGTGGCGAAGCTGGAGCAGGCCCCGAAGGAGAAGGAGCAACGGACGCTCGACGAGTTGAGCGACGGAGAGGTGACAGACAAGGGCGACGAGAGCGACGCGACCTCCGACACCGTGAAGGTTCAAGTGCGGCCGGCTCGCCGAGTGCGAGTCTTGGCGGCCCCGCGGGTCGGGCGAGCGCGCCAGCCGGTGGAGGCGAAGCGGCTGCAGGGGCTGGGTCTTCTGCCGCTGGAGTCGAGCGCGGTTCAGTCGAAGACGGAGACCGACTACTACGACGCGGTGAACGCCTGGCGGGCTCGAGCCCGCGAGCTGGGCGAGCCTCTCGGCGTGGCTGCCGAGGTGGGCGCGTCGGTGGTGCGGCAGCTGCAAGAGCTTTTCGACCAAGGCGAGAACCTCAGCAAGGGCGAGAAGCTCGTGGCCGGGCTGGAGCACTTCCTGCCCGAGTTCGGGCGGCATGGAGGCCTTCATCTTTCCCGGTGCTACCGGGCTCTGAAAGGCTGGAGACGCCGCTGCCCGCCACGATCGCGCCGCCCCCTGGCCTTCAGCATCTGGGCAGCCATCATCTGGGAGCTGTGCCGCGCGAACTTCTGGAACATGGGGGTGTACGCGCTGTTCATGCTGGTGACCTACATGCGGCCCTCGGAGCCCCTGAAGCTGCTGCAGGAGGACCTCCTCGCCCCGGCGCATGGGCTCTCTGCCTCGTGGATCTGCTTCGCCTTCCGGCAGGGGCGGGGAGCGGCGTCCAAGACGTACGCGACGGACGAGAGCATCGACCTGAGCTGCAGGTGGGTGCCATACCTGACGACGGTGGTTGCTGCGCTGCGAGCAGGCGACCCCAAGGCCAAGGTCTTCAACTTCAAGTACAGCAGCTACACGCGCCAGTTCAAGATCGCCTGCAAGAAGCTGGGGCTGACGGCCGTGCCTTATCAGGCAAGGCACTCAGGCGCCTCCATCGACGCCGCCATGAAGTATCGCACCCGGGCCGAGATCAAGAGCAGGGGGCGGTGGAAGGCGGACAAGTCGGTGCTGAGGTACGACAGCAAGGCCAAGATTGTCGAAAGCGTCGACAAGCTGAGCGCCTCGTTGGCGTCTCACGTGCACAGGTGCGAGCTCCAGCTCGGGCCCCTTTTGTGCGGCCAGATCGACCCCTCGGCCATCGCACCGCCCGTCATCCCGAGCTCGGCCCCAAAGAAGCGACGCCGTACCTAGCCGATCTTTTTGGCGGCACTTGCGGTGTGGGCCGAGCAGCAGGCAGATGCGGTATTCGGGCTCGGCTGTGGGACAAATCTATTTCAGACTCTTTGGATCTGACACTTCTGAAGAACATCCAGCTTTTGTGCTCGGAGGCCAAAAATGGTAAGTTGGTTGCAGCCATGATCGCTATCGAGTGCCGCTCTTGGGGCATCGCTCGTCACAGAACCAACGTGATCCGTTCGCGTACTGAGCCCTGGGGTGTTACGAAACCGGCCAAACCCTTCTCGGCCAATGATCTGGAAGCCCTTCGGACCGGAAATCTCCAGGCCCGCAGGATCCTCAAGCTCATTCGGTACATCCACGCCCTGGGCATCCCGTGGGCCGTCGAGAACCCAGCGACAAGTTTACTTTGGTGGGTCCCAGGCTTCATCCAGTTCGCGAACGATCCCAAGGTGCATGTTAAGATTATCGACCAGTGTGCCTTTGGAACTCCGTGGCGAAAGCGTACCCAACTCATGTTCGGCAATTGCGACCCCTTTGATGTCAGCTTGTGCGATAAGTATATGTGCCACGGTCGGGGGACTTGCTGTTTCACTGGAAAACCTCACGTGGAGCTGGAGGGCAAACGTATGACATCCCAGGCCCAGACTTACCCACCCCGTTTTTCCCAGCTCCTGGCCAAAGTACTGTGCAGTACGGCTGTATGTCAACGTGCTTACCAATACTCAATCAACTCATAAGCTCACTACCTTTCGGGACGTTTTGGGAATCAGCTATTGCATAATGCCGAGTATATACTCTTTAGCATTCTCATTCTGTCGTGGGCCAGCTCGTGATGACGGTGGCAGAGTTGATTAGACACATTGCTGAATGAAAACAGAGTGCAGGTCTCTCATGTTAGTGCGGAGTGTGCTTGCAAACGGGCACGGGATTGAGGGACCCAACGGCGTCTTCACCATGCTCCCCTGTATTCCACTATATATTCGCTCAAGCTTCCCTCCCCCCTCTCCCTCTTCTTGCGCGGTGCCGTTCCGACTCCACGTTTCAAGGGAATCAGCTATTGCATAATGCCGAGTATATACTCTTTAGCATTATCATTCTGTCGTGGGCCAGCTCGTGATGACGGTGGCAGAGTTGATTAGACACATTGCTGAATGAAAACAGAGTGCAGGTCTCTCATGTTGTTGTTGTTGTTGTTTTTGTTGCTGTTGCTGCTGCTGTTGTGGTTGTTGTTCTTGTTGCTGCTGTTGTTGTTATTGCTGCTGGCGTTATTATTATGGTAGTAGTTGTGGTTGTTGTTGTTGTTGCTGTTGTTCTTGTTGTTGCAGTGTTTGCTGTTGTTGTTGCTGTTGTTTCTGTTGCTGCTGCTGTTGTGGTTGTTGTTGGTGCTGCTGCTGTTGCTGGTATTGCTGTTGGTGTTCTGGTCCTTGCGGTTGTTTTCGTCGTTGTTGTTGTTGCTGCGGTTGTTGTTGCTGTTGTTGTTGCTGTTGCTGTTGTGGTTGTTGTTGTTGGTGGTGGTGGTGGTGTGGTTGTTGGTGTTGCTGTTGTTGTTGAACATTATTACTTCTAAAGAATAATTATTGTTGGGGCCCCTGGTGCGCGACCCCCCTCCAAAACCTAGGCCGCAGCTACATTTTCATCATTTTTTAGCGAAAGCTTCAGAAAAGTGAATTATTACCGGATCCGGTTGTTTTGTTGTACTCCGTTTTCCCTTGCAAAAAACACTATAAAATGAAAATTCTTGTTCTTACTTGATCAAATTGCAAGAATCCCTTGCAAAAAATAAGGTAAAGTGGACATTCGTGCGCGCAAGACGAAATCCTTCCAAAACCTTAGGTTTCGTAACGATTTTAACATAAAAACATCAAAAACCCAATGGTTTTTTAAGAAAAAATTGTCAAAATGTTCTTCCGCGCGCTCTTGCGGATTCGTAGGAAAACCAACACTTTTTAAACAATTCTGTCAAACGGGCTTTTGCGAGCAACTTTTTCGAACTTCTGCGACAACGTTTGCGCACCTGCCAGGGCCATCATCCCTGTCAAATAATACCATGCGGGACACATTCGTTTTTTCTTCGCGCGCGCACGCCGAAATCTCCAAAAATCATTGGGTTTTTAAGAATTTTAGCACCGCGCATCATAAAATCACACGAATCGCACCGTAGCTCTCCTCTGGCTCTCTGTCTTGCTCTCTCTCTCTCTCTCTCTCTGTCTCTCTGTCTTGCTCTCTCTCTCTCTCTGTCTTGCTCTCATATCATGCGCAACAAATGCACGATGCGGGGCACATGCGGGGCCCAAACAAGTGATTAACCTCTGCGGGTGTGTACTCCACGCCAGTGTAGTATCCACGATCGTCCGCGCGCCACGAAGTGAAGTGTCCTGACGTCATAGGGCGGGAAGCTGGGTGTGGGTGGTTCCCGAGAGTCGTGTGGATGTTTGGTAGAGCTTGCATTGCCCCCCCACGAAGTGGGGGTATTGGCTGGCGTCGCATGAAAACCCTGGCACTGGGGAGAACACTGAGCGTTCGGGTAAAATGATTGTTGTTGTTGTTGTTGTTGCTGTTGCTGTTGTTGTTGTTGTTGTTTTTGTTGCTGTTGTTGTTGTTATTATTGTTGTTGTGATGGTGGGGATGGTGGTGTTGGTTGTGGTGGTTGTGGTTGTTGTTGTAGTTGTCTCAGGTGTTGTTGTTCCTACGATCCACGTTCTTATCATTATCACCACAGCGTTCAACACACGCGCGCACACACTCCCGCCCTGAATCTGGGGTGTCCATGGCCCCCTCCCATCTCCCATCAGGGCTCGAAGACATCCCAGGGAGAGCCTCAGAGCGTTTTCACGACGGCGGGCCAGACGCCTCCATGACGCCACCAGACGGCTCGAAGACGGCCCGTGAGTTCTCCAAACACTTCCGCCCTCCCGGATGCCCCGTCGCGACGGGGAGCACGCTGACGGCGACGGTGACGGCCGTTTCCGTCGCCGTCGACGTCGACGTCGCCGTTGCCGTCAGCGTCGTCCCCGTCGCCGTCTCCGTCGCCGTCGCCGTCGCCGTCGCCGTCGGCGTCGCCGTCGCCGTCGCCCTGGCCGCCCGTGCTGGCAGGACCCGTACAGCGAGGAGCCGAACCCGTGGGGCTGGCCCCTCGCCCCAGCGGCGGGGGAGGTCCCGGTCGCCGGGGGCGGGGGCCGGGGGGGGGGGTGCAGGCCTCCTCCAGGCTGGGGTGCCCCCCATGGACGGGGGGGAGTGGAGGAGAGGGAGAGGGAGAGAGAGAGAGAGAGAGAGAGAGAAAAAGAGAGAGAGAGAGAGAAAGGGAGAGAGAGAGGGAGAGGGAGAGGGAGGAGAGAGAGAGGAGAGAGAGAGAGAGAGGGAGAGAGAGGGAGAGAGAGAGAGAGAGAGAGAGAGAGGGCGAAAGGGATCTTTCAGGCGCCCTCCTGACCGATTTGGGCCCGCTGCCTGGGGCCAGCAGGGGCTGCCAGGAGCCTCCAGAAGCCCGGGTGACCTTCTGCAGGGGCGTCCAAAGGGGCCCCCGGGGCTGGGGACCAGGGGGTCCAGTTTGGGGGGGGGTCGCAGGTCGCAGGGTCCCAGATTGTAAACATCCAGACACGGGAATCTTTATGAGAGAGATGGAGAGGAGAGAAAGAAAGAGAGAGGGAGAGTGGAAGAGACAGGGAGAGATAGAGAGAGAGAGAGAGAGAGAGATACATAAGATCACGAGAGAGAGAGAGAGAGAGAGACAGAAGAGCAACAAAGAGAGAGAGAGAGAGAGAGAGAAAGAGCGAGAGCGAGAGGGAGAGGTACATACATAATGATCTAGAGAGAGCGAGAGCGAGACACATAGTGACTGCAGTGGCGCTTCGCGCCAGCCAGCACCTTGGTCCTTGAAGTTTGGTATGCAGGCGGAATAGCAGGAAGGTCAAGCCGACAATTTCGTTTAGCGATAACTCCTTGTTGCCTTTTCCGGCATCGCCGCTATAATAATGTTATTCATTATGGATCCTCCATGCTTCTGTTTTGAACGCCATACCTTGTGCATTCTCCCCATCCTCCTCAGCTCTTTTTTGCGGAGGCTCCTCCTTGGAGAGCCTCTGGGGGCCTCACAACAGTTGTTTCAGACTTTCTTAAGGCCTTCTGGAGGCCTCCTGGGCGTGTTCTGGGGGCCTCTCGGGGCTTCCTCGGGCCACCCTGCCTCCAACCGTGGTCTCCCTGAACGACTGGGTCACGATTTGGAATGCTTCGGAGGGTGTCTTGGGGCCATTTTGGGCCGTCATGGGGCTCTCTGAGGGCCATCTTGGACCCGTGCTGTGCCGTTTTGGGGCTCTCTTGGACTGCCCGGAAGCCCTTTCGGATGGTTGTGGGGCGATTTTGGAGCCTCCCAGGCGGCTTCGGATGCCCAGAAGACCGCCGTCTTGGAGCGCCGGGAAGCCGAAAAGAGGAGATACCCCAAATTCACCAAACACCAACAGAAAGTCAATGATTTTTGCCTCTTGGGGCCTTCTTGGGAGTGCTCTTGGAGGCCTCTTTGGGGCCGTCCTGGAGGCCTCTTAGGCCATCTTGAGGTCACGTCGGTCACTCTTGGAGCGCTCTTGTGCTGTCTTGGGGGTCTCTGGGACGTCTCCGATGACCCACCTGATCGCCCTAGGTGTGCTGGGAAGGCTTGGCGCAACGCCCTGCGAGGCCCGGGGGGCCGCTTCGAGGCCCGTCCGGAGGGTCCCAAAGCCCCAGGTCCCGGGAATCCGGTTTTGGAGGGGGGGTGAGGGGTTTTCCCCCCGCCCGGGCCTGCAACAATATAGGACGACGAATATATCATATAGAGATAAACCATGTATATATATATAGAGAGAGAGAGAGAGAGAGAGAGAGAGAGAGAGAGAGAGAGAGAAAGAGAGAGAGAGAGAGAGAGAGAAAGAGCAATACTGATATATACATATATATATACATATACATACGTTCATATAAAGACGTATAAAGGGAGAGAGAAAGAGAGAGAGAGAGAGAGAGAGGGAGAGAGAAAGAGAGAGAGAGAGAGGAGAGAGAGAAAGAGAAAGAGAGAACGATACTTTGAAAGATGGAGGTAGAGAAAGAGTGAGAGAGAGAGCGGGTGGCAGCCAGGGAGGGGGAGAGACGGGGCAGAGAGAGGGGGGGCAGAGAGAGAGAGAGGGAACAACACACATATATACATATATACATTTTTTTTTTTTTTTATATATATATATATATATATAGATATATATATATCTATATCTATATATGTGGGTGGGGGACCACCCTACGGGTGATCAGGAGGGTGGGGGGGGGAACGAGGAGGAGGTCGATTTGCGATGGCTCGGGGTTCTTTGGTGGTTTCTTCATTTTTTCATTTCCGCGCACATCTGGCCATCTATCTATCGACCTATATATCTAGTGATCTATTTAGGGCAGCCATCATTATATGTACATAAATATATGTCTATTGTCATCTGTATCAATATATAAGTCGATCAGTCGATCAGTCAATCAATAGATATATCAATCTAGCTACCTATATCTATTCATGTATACCTCTCTTTATCTCCATATATATATAGATTTCAGTTTCGAGCTATGTGTATGTTTTTTTTTTTTTTTTTTTGTTTCTCTCTCTCTCTATATATATATTTGTCTCTCTCTATTTGTATATGAGTGTATATATTTATCACTCGATCTCTCTATATATCAATCTCTCTACCTCTTTATCTATATATCTACCTGTCTGTCTATCTACCTACCAGCCACCGGGACAACCATCAGGACAGCCATCGTGACAACCATCAGGACAGCCATTGGGACAGCCATCGGGGCAATTTTCGGGACAACATCGGGACAACCATCGGGTAAACATCTAACAACATCTTTAAATACATTTATCTTTCAACCATCGGGACAACCATCGGGACAACCATCGGCACAACCATCAGGACAACCATCAAGACAGCCATCGGGACAACCATCGGGACAACCATCGGGACAACCATCGGGACAACCATCGGGACAACCATCGGGACAGGCGAATCTTGTTCATTGTCCCTCAGGGTTTGCTGAGGGCTCTGTTGTAGGTCAGATGCCTCTTGGATGCCTGCGGAGATCTCTTGGGAGGTCTCTTAGAACCATCTTGGAGGCGATGATGGGGATGTCTTGGGGCCTCTCGGGAGCCTCTTGGGGGCCTCCTGGGGCCTGCTTTGGGCCTCTTGGGGGCCTCCTGGGGCTTCGAACGGGTCTCCTGGGGGCCTGCTGGCGGTCTCGGGTGTCATCTTGGAGCGGAGAGCTCGACATGTCATTTCGATCTTCCAGGGGGGAGAAGGCAAGGAGGAGAAAGGGAGAAAGAGCGGAGGAGGTGGCGAGGAGGAGAGGAGGAGGGGAGGAGATCAACGCGGCCATTGTACAGTTTTTTCTGGCCGAGGAGCGTGGATCCTCCCCCCAGCCCTCCTCCTCCTTTCCCTCCTCCTCCTGCTCCTTCCTTCTACTTTTCCTTTTTGCTTCTCCTCGGCCCCCGACGACGACAGACGACCGACATCCAACAACGACCCGCGATCGACGGCCGACGGCCGACGACGACGACGACGACGACGACGACGACGACGACGACGGCCACGACGACGACGACGACGACGACCACGGCCACGACGACGACGACGACGACGACGACGACGGACGATCCCCCCGATGGATCCGAGGCCGCTATCGCCGAGCGACTGGTCCTTCGGCGAGGAGGCCTGCTGGACGGAGAAGTTTGCCATGCGCCCCGCCCGGCTCCCGAGATCGGCGCGGCAATGATCGAGGGCAGAGGTTGTCTCGAGGAGGAGGACCCTCAGATCCTAACGTCACCATCCTTGCACACCTGGCGATTACTTTATTTCGGGCCCCAGGGCCTCGCCGAAGGACGGAGGTTCTTTTCAATTTTCGGCATCTGGGGGCTCTCATCGGGCCCCGGGAGCTGTCAAAAAACGGCTCAGCATGAGAAACCAGTCCCTGGGAAAGGGTCGGGAACCCAGTGTTGAAAAACTCAGGACATCTTATTTCTGGGGAGGTCCTGGCGTCGCAATTTGTTCGCACCTATCGATTTCGCCTTGGTTCGGGCCCTGGAACCCTCGCGGATGGATCCAGCTCTGAACAATACCGCAGAAAGATCGAGTCTAGGGTCTTGGTCGTGATTTTGACGATGTAGTTTTTCGTCCGTGACGTCGGATTCCAGGGGAGCAGAAGGACATGCGCAATGAGTGAGGAGGAGGAGGAGGAGGAGGAGGAGGAGGAGGAGGAGGAGGAGGAGGAGGAGGAGGAGGAGGAGGAGGAGCAGGAGCAGGAGGACCAGTGTAAACCCAATAGTCATCAACGATATTGGAAATACCTCCCCCCTCCAAGCTCCCTCAACATAGGCCCCTACAAGGGTTCATTCCCACTGAGGGAACTGCCTAGTTGGAAGACAACCGTTTGAAGACCCTGAAGCATGCCAAGATATTTTTCTCGGGACTTCAACGCCACGGATTAACTTGACTTGTGCGTCTTGACGATCTTGAATCGCGCCAGAGCGCCATTCCTGGGACTTCAAGACCGCGAATCAACGTAACTGTTGCGCCCTCAGACCCCTGAAT